TTTTGTCGGACCTCTATACACTTCTTACGACAATGTCAATCACACAACAACAAATATGGCCCTCGAATAGTATTTTAGATGTATTGAGATTGTACTTTATAGTCAAAACAATATCATTTATCAATTCAAAGAGATTAGGAAAACTGCAAATTTCAAGAGATTCGTACTTCGATTGTTTTTTGAGGCCACTCAGAGTATACTTCAACAGTTTTTTAAATTCTCTTCCTAGTAATAAAATTTCGATAAAACCCGCCTGGAGCCTAACATTTGATTAGAATGAGAAGTATCACAGACATCAGGAATTCAGTGATGCCCGTCATAAATTTCAATATTTTTCTGATTTCAATTAAGAAGTCCTGGTAACCCAAAACTATGCAGCTGAACAATCTTAATATTTCTTACAGGTAAAAACTATCTATGTAACATATTTTACCACATCACCATAAATTTGTTATAGCTTAACAGACAAAGGCTGTACATTTTTTGAGCACTGCTAGGGAAAATTTTGACATAGGGTGCTCTGTAAGATTCCTCGTATCGCTCTGTCTGGTAGGCGTGACCCTATTCCGTTTTCATTTAACGTTACTTAGCGTTATTATAATTCCCCTGTAGTGTCGGCACACGGCTTTCTCTGAATGGTCACTTGGACCACTCTTTGACTTTGACTCACATAATCTAGTTTTCAGACCAAATTTCGTAATTTGGAATGCCTGTCCATCTAACACACGCATTGCGGACACCACTAATGTCTCACTAAAATGTTAAAACCGGGTTTGTCAACATATAATCCAGGAAAATTCAATAGGAATGTACGACGCGCCTCGCCCGACATCACCCTCGTAAATAAAACTAAAAACTGGCAATTAAAACAAATGCCAGTTGCAGAAGCTGGCTAGAAGTATCGCCCAAAAAAGGGTTCCTAGAAGTCGGCTGCTCCGAATGGCCAAAAGCGGAGGATGAGTAGGTCCAAAAATTGGGTTCCGCAATTTAGTTTCATTTTATGGACAAGTTGAAGTACACATACCTACATATATATTTCTGTATCTTATATCAATTAATTGCTTAAGAACCATGTTGTTAAATTTTTAAAATTAGAATGCGACGACTGTGAGTAAATTTTTATTATTTTATGCATAAGCAGGGAACTACTGGGATGTGGAATTATTTTTTGTTCAAGTTTTAATCTCCTAGAAAATTTACGTCACTTATTTTTGTTGGCCAGGCTTGCGGGCTCGGCCCGGGTTTTAGCAAATTTTTTTGTGGGGCTTTACAAAATTATTGCGGAACGGATGAATTTGAAATTTGTAGTTTTTCTGTTTTGTTTTTCCTGATAAATGATAATGTATTGACTAAAAAATGCTCCCACAAAACATCTACAATGTAAAGGGTGATCCATTTGTTGGTTAATTTTAATATCGATTGTTAAAATGAAAATCCATAGTTCTATTTCCGAACGCTTTTTTTTAAATTGAGAGTACTATCCTTCCGGTTAATGATGAAACATAATCTCGTTCATATGCTCGCCATGGCTAAGCTTCACGTAGCCGATTCTGTCGACTCAATTTTTCAGTACATTTTCCAAAGTCCGCGGCATGATCTCACCAATAGCTGCATGAATATTGGTCTTCATGTGCTCAATCGTCGCTGGGGCATCCACATACCATTTATATTTTACGCTTCCCCACAAAACATAATTCAACGGAGTTAAATCGCAGCTTAGCAGTTGACAAGTCACATCACCAAAACGGCTGATTACCGATTTTCGAACAATTCTTGAAGAAGAGCGATTGTTTCGCGGCTTGTGTGGCAGGTCGTGCCGTCTCGCTGGAACCACACGCCATCCAAGTCTTTTTATCGGTTTCCAGAAAGACATGGTCAGTCAGCAGGCTCCTATAGCCCACACCAATGATTGTCCTTTGTCATCTTCGAAAAAAAAAATGGCCAATAACGCCACCAGACCACAAACTCCACCAAACGGTCACTCGTTGAGTATGCATTGGCTTCTAGGTAATTTCACTTAGTTATTCTGAAATATGGCTATTTTGCTTATTGACGTTGCCACCAAGATGAAAATGGGCCGCATACGAAAAAATGATTTTTCGGCAGAAATGGGGTCCTTGTCCAAGCGTCCAATTTTTAGCACTTCCCAGCGTTATTCAAGAATATATCGATATACGAGCCCCTTCCCACTTCAGTTGGCCCAACTATTGAAATCTTAGTTTTTTTTCTAATCAAACACAGATAATAAAAACGTAGCAGGGTATTATAGGTTTAAAATATTAACAATGAATATTTTGATAATATATAGCAGAAAACACCAACCTTATCACTCCCTAATCAAATTTGCAGCATAAAAATAACACATGTTGCAATTACAGCATATCAACCTATTTCCAATTCAATGCAAAATAAGTCTATAACGCATAGGTGGCTGTGGAAAATAAAAGCCATGATAATTGTTTTTATTAATCACAGCTGTCAAAATACGTTTAAAATAGTTTTGGGTGGTTAAGGTTTTCAAAATAGGTAGAGGAAAGGTTATTAGTGAAAAAATTCGGTTACTGATAATTAAATGTTTTAATTCTGGGAAATCAAACTCAGAAATTGCAACTTTGTTAGACTTGGTACAGTGTGAGAAATATTGTTAGAAGATGTAACGTAACTGGTCAGTTAATATTAAGCCACGATATGTGAAAAAAAGTAATATCACAAATGCCGACCGAAAAGCATTAAGAAGAATAATCGTGGAAAGCAGGCGTGCCAATTATTTACAATTAAGTGCTCTGTGGAGTGACACTGTTGGAAGGAGAATTTCGAGGTCCACAACTCACATAAAGGCCCACAAACTGGGATTTAGCACTCGCAAGGTAAGTTTTCTTATAAAAAAATGTGAAGTAAAAAGGCTAAAGTTGCACAACTTGTTTAAAGGCCAAAGAAAAGCCACTATTAACTCCACTGCAAAAGAAAAATCGTCTTAGATGGGCTAAAGAACATAGACAATGGACACCTCAACAATGGTGTGCAATACAATGGAGTGATGGGGCCCGATTCGAAGTTTGTGTTGTTGACAGTCGCAGTAGAGTTATTCGCAAAAAAATTAAGCATTCCATGTTGACTGTCTGAAGAGAAAAGCGAAATTTCCAGCATCCATAATGGTCTATAGCAGTATGTCATCAAAAGGAGTAGGAAAACTTCATCTTATTGATGGAAATGTGGATACAAACAAATATTTGGCAATTTTAGAAGAATCGCTTTTACCAGTGATGGAAGAATGTTTGACATCCGCCCAAGATTTTGTGTTTCAGCAAGATGGTGCAGCGTGCCATACCTCAAAAAAGGCTATAAAATGGATGGAAGAAAATAATGTACCACTTTTGAAATGGGTTTCTAGCAGTCCAGATCTGTCACCTATTGAAACTTTGTGGCACGAGATGAAAAAGGTTCTACGACAGCATCCTGCTCGTATAATCACCGAACTGAGACAAAAGCTTCAAGAAATATGGGATTGTTTTACACCAAATTTTTGCCAAAACTTGGTTATCACTATGCCCCAAAGAATTTCAGCCGTAAGGTGATGTTACCCGATGGTAATCTTTCAAATGTTGCTTTGTTAACTTCGCGCATTTATTCGCACATTGTTTATTTGTTCAGATGTTCTATTAGTTATAGGCCTAAGTGATTTCAAATATGTATTTTTTACGACTAGAGTGTATCTAAAATGTTTTTGAGAAAATACATTGTTTTACAAGTAAATAGTTTCGTCATGTTTAGTTTATAAAGGCATATTTTGGTACAAATCTTGAAGTGGGCCAACTGAGGTGGGAAGGGGCTCGTATATTCGTTCACCGCAGACTCTTTACTGAATTCTTGTCAAAACAGAACTGATGTAAGTATTGCCAACCGTGAGATAAGGCCTAGTTCAAAAATTAACTAACAGATGGATCATCCTTTACATTAGAGCCAAATGTTTTGTTCTTTGATTGTCATTGCCGTCGGAAGTGCATAGAGGTCCGACCAAATGTGTATACAGGTACGAAAATCTATGCACTCTTTGGCATTAGGTGGTTTAAATGTTTATCTGATCTTCAGTACAAACATTATATATATATATATATATATATATATATATATATATATATATATATGAGGGGTAGTCATTGCCATTGCCAACGATCAGTTGGGCAAAAAATACAATTAATTGTTAATTAGGAAATTAGCAAACCTTTAGGATTTAGTATATACACTAACGCTCAAATATTTTGGGACAGTAACTTTTTTTAAGAGAACTTAAAATAAATAAAGCATATATGACATTGATTGATTATTACCATCTATAATAAGACCATTCAAGCTAAAGATGTATAAGAATCAGTGAAACACCCCTTAAAAGGGAATAAATGTAAACATCTTTAGAGACGCCGATATTTTTTTTTAGTTCATTGCAGTCTTAAATCCGCCGAATTCCTGCCGCTGTTTACTTTTTTTTTGTTCTATGTATTATGTTCGGCTTAATATGATACATAAACATTCTGGGTATCAATGAAACAAATTAAACATTGTACGTAGTTTAAAATAAACTACTAGTCGATGTGCTAGGGTCAGATTTTTTCAAAATAACCGAAAATGGTAAAGACGGGTAACGTTTCTCTTGAAAAACGGGGTGCAGTGTGTGCCTTACGTGATGAGGGATTATGAATTAGAGCGATTGCTGAAAGGCTGCATATAGGACGGAACACGGTGTCTCAAATTTTGAATAAAAAGAGAGAAAAAGGCAATGTCGTAGATCGTCCACGCCCTGGAAGATGCTGAGTTACAACTGTTGCTCAGGATAGGCTTATAGTACTAACAAGTAAGTGAAATAGACATTTAACTGCACCTGAACTCAACCACAGCTTAAATAGAACGAGGGAAAACCATGTGCCCGTGTCTACGGTAAAACGCCGCGTACAAAGGGCTAACCTTAGAGGATGTGTAGCAGCACGCAAACCACTCCTGCGATCTATACACAAACGCAACAGGTTAGCATGGGCTCAAAAATACAAGGATGGGACCGTTGACCATTGGACTCGAGTGCTTTGGTCGGATGAATCCAAATTTGAAATGTTATGATCTCGGCGACGACAGTTTGTACGTCGCCAACCCCATGAACGCATGACTCCGCAATGTTTGCAGCCCACTGTTAAGCATGGAGGTGGGATTGTAATGGTTTGGGGATGTTTTTCCGGAAATAAAACAGGAGATTTGGTTCGTAATGAGGGTATAATGCGAAAAGAGCAGTATTTGGAAATTTTTGAAAAACCATGCTGTTCCCTCAGGACAAAGGGTCGTTGGGAACAATTTCTAATTTCAGCAAGACAATGACCCTAACCATTCACCTCGACTATGCCGCAACTATTTGGACCAGCAGCAAGAACTTGATGCAATGAAAATCATGACGTGGCCTTCCCAATCTCCAGATTTGTCTCCTATCGAGTATTTGTGGGATGAATTGGACAGACAGGTGAAGCAACGAGAGCCTACTAGTGCTGCAGACTTGTGGGCCAAACTGCAGGAAGCGTGGGTATCCTGATCACCAACTATTCTTGAAAAATAGATACGTAGGATGAGTCGTGTCTGTAATGCAGTCATTCGGGCTCGTGGTAGACATTTCAATGAATAATGAATTTAAAGAAAATTTTGATTGAAATAAGTTACCAACTAATTAAGTTTCAGTGGAAAATAGATTCTTTCTATTGTTTTGATTAAACACACTCTATGGTTTGATTTGGTTTGATTTCCATCAAAAAATCTACTGTCCCATGAATGAAGTATGTGTTTATGGTATTACACTAACGTAAATAATCCACAGAAAAAAACTAAAAAATTATGCATTTTTCCTATTATCTGGAATACTAGGATTGTATGGATACTTTTAATTTTTTTTCGCAAGATACCAATTAAATGCAAAATGTCAACAACTGTCAAACTGACTCTTAAGCCTGATCGTCTTGTAGTATGCACTTGCATCCTGACTATGGACTACATAATTTTGTAACATAACAAATCGCTAGCTTCTTCTACCGGGTCCAATTTCGGTAGTCAGGTAGGAGCAATAAGTAACACTTCAAGAGTTCTTAGGAGAAGCAAACAAACACAAAGAGGGATTTTAGGCCAGGTGGACGTCCCCGTCCATCATCGTGAATCCTACGGAAAGGACTAAACCTTAACACGCCAGCCATCTACACGTTTTTTCCGCGACGCAGTAAGTATGAATATCCGTCCCTGCCATTTCGCTCGTAAGGTCGGGTTCGGTAATTACTCCTCAGCAAGGGTAGAGTTATGCAAATCCCTACACTGGTTTGGAAGGAATGAAGAAAGCTAACAAAGCGGAAGGAACTGTAAACATAAAAATGTGATGATAAATTTTGTTTTTAGGGTTAGGCGTCTAAAGAGGATTTCACGTGGTAAACGGTACTTTCCTCAAGGATTTGGTTGCTTGTTCTAAATGGCACGTATATTGTTTCTTGGCGTAAAAAAGTCACGGTAACTCGTAATATATATTTTTTAGAAAAATTACTGACAGGGTTTCACAGATTGTTCACATTCACGTTTCCATGAAGAGGCAAAACTTTTGTGCTCAAATTCCACTCGTGTTAACTGGAAATTAATCCTCTCAAAATGTCATTATCCAGTTAATCTTTTCAGTTGCTAGCTTTAACCAGAGTGACAACTAGCATCTACGGGTGAAGTAGAAATTTGTAGTTAAATCGCAATGTGTAACTTGTTGATAGTCTAGGAATTCTCACAAATGACGCGTAGGAAAAACGCCGAGTATCACAAAATCACAGAATAGCATACTGTAGGAGTAGGTTGCTATATCAGCAATTGCGAGTTAGTTAACCAGAACCTTAGAGTTTAATATACACGGATCCCAGAATATAACAGAGTATCAGAACGCCATTGCCAATGCAGCTTGCCTTTGACTTTGTTTGGTGCGCACGGATCCCGTTGTATTTCAAAGACGCAAGCGTTAGTAGTGGTGTACGATGTGTTTGATGCTCTCTTCTATTTTGGTACCCAACTGCAATTAGTTTCCAGATCACCTAGACTTATTGAACTTCAATGTTATCCCTTGTCACTTTACGGCCTACTGGTCTTCTGGGATGATCACCAATTCAAAGTTAAATTAGTTCGCTCCACTGATGGTGTTCTGTCGTTACTCAGGTAATTACAAATATGCTCAGCTGGTGGGAACAGAACGCACCATATGGAAACGTTAAAATGATCAAAAGTTTAAAATTCAAAATCCAGTTACCAAAAAAACATACCTTTTTTGGAATTTAGCTTTATTGATGAAGGTTCGTAACTGATTCAAGTTAGTCGTTTTTTAAGGCCGTTTATATGGACTACTTATTTGCTCTGATTAAGCATCGATCACAAAAACCCAACCACGTTTATATTATGTTATCTCGACAAACAAAAAGGCTATTACGATATTTATGCATTCAGCATAGAAACAAACAACAAGTTATAACGCGGTAACGTAGCCCTTAGAGTATTATCGTATTCACTTAAAATCATCAAATGGCGTTACCAATTAAAAAAAAATGTCTGTTCATATACCAGACACCCTGTATCTCCTCCATGATGAAAAGATAAAGCTGACCACAAAGGGTTAGGCAATTAAAATGAAACACGATAGTTACGTCCACTGGCGCCAAGTAATAAAGGTAACTATCAACTTAGGTCGCAATTTAGTCGAAGATAACTGCTGGCATCGTTATAAAATAGTCCTTTGTACGACAAAGGCAAGAAGCTATACATATTCAACATTATACTACGCGTTGCTCTAAAATGCAAAACGCTCAGCTCACGTATGTATAAACACGTCTCTTTGAATAAATGCATACACGTTCATGGATACGTGTGCATACTGATATGCTATAATCGTCTGAGCAAAATGGTGTAACATGGACTAGATGAAATATTATTTCCTTTCGGATTCATAGACAAGGTTACAGGTAGTTTCCGTCCAGGATGCGGTAGGAGGCGCAAAATGCTTCAAGTTTTACCCCATATATCTATAGGCGAAACTTGATAGCTTTCGAGATTTTTCAATTTGTTTAATTTTCTGTTAATCACATATCAATCTAAGTAATAAAAAACTATGTGAAATATGGGTGGGAATGTGTGTGATTGATCTTCATAGTTTGTAATCAAATCAAGTGAGTTTGTTTTTAGAATAGCTGTTATTTTATCTTCGCACTCTTCTTAATTGTATTCACCTAATTTCAATACAAACTACGAAAATCAATCACAGACTCACCCATACATCACATAGCTTTGGACTGAAATGTCAAATTTTGGGCGAAAGTTGAAAAATCACAAACATTGAATAATCTTGGAAACCATTTTCATCTATACGTATTATATAGAGTGAAATGGGTTGCCTTTGATGCCTGGAAGGAATAGTGCGAGTTACTGGGCAACAATTGTACAACGCATAAAAGTAATAACTTTTCGTTTAAGGTATTATGGTGTTTTGTCACAATTTATAGAAATGTTTAATTTATATGCTTATCCATATAACATTTACAGGCTCTGTTATCAGAAATATGACATATTATTTCAATTTTTACTGAAAAAACTGATCATGTTGAACTTCACAACTATTAAGATGTAACAATAAGGTTCAGGAATATTGAGTTGATGAATAAGTGGTTTCTGTCGTAATGGGTTTCTCATATTATTGTATTTAATAAAGAACAGCAATTTTAGAGATGTTTGAAAAACTGACAACGAATTAAAATGTTACTGCATAGTGGGACGGTAATCGTCCAACCAGTTTTTAAAATATCTCGCAAGCAAAATCCACAGCTCCTGTATTCGGGCGCTGGACCGGAAGCTAAGCAAGATCCTCGCGTAGCCCTATTTCTTTGCTACTAGGCGTATTACATGTGGTTGTTGAGCCGGTGCTTGGGAAAAAATTTTACCTCTGTCGCGCTAGTCAATATGAGGAAGGTCTGACCACCGTGTTTGTATCGGGAATGCAAAACTGAATGGACAACGTTTTTCAAAATACAAAAAGGGTGATACTACATACAAGGTCTTTCAAATAAGGCCCTCATCATTAAATTCTCGGAAACTGTAAGAGATGCGAAGGGGGGCAAAATTGCGTATTTAGGCAATCAACAAAATGCCGCATAGAGACGAATAAAGAAAAACGAATTTTCCCAAAATAACACCTATCATTCTCTAGAGCTGCTACATTAGTAAAATACACTGGCGCTACTGGTACAACATATCAACGGTATCCGTTTATTTAGCCCGAATGCAGCTAATGGGTTATACATATACCTACTTATAAGCGAAATAATGATTACACACCACCACATTAAATATGCATGACCGATTCTACAAGTGCACCACTGAGCCTCTTTCTCTCTCTCTCTCTCGCTCTCTCAGTCGCCCTTTGCCAATGTATGTATATTTATGAATGATTTGCATATAAAATGGCCGCGGGAATTTAATTATGAATAACGACGTTTTCGTTTTTCGGAATGCTCATTTTCAAGAGGTAATGGGTATGTTTGTATATTTTGGATACAGCAGCGTAACATGCGAGTGGCTTTGCACTGAAACGATATGAAGCATCATCTTACACTTCCCTCCCAAAGCGCAAAATCCCACATCCGTCCGCATCTTGTGGCATCCCACCAGCTTACGTTAGGCTGCGGTTATACTTGAAGCGGCAGGCAACGGGTGGCGGACGGTAGCCGACAGGCTGCAGGTTATTGGTGACTAACCGTTTATACTGTTTACGGTATCGGGTGTTGGCAACCAGATGCAGATAGAATCAAAGCGTATTATTATATTGCATCCTATTCAAATGACATTTACGCAATCCTTGCGCTCTTGCATTGTCTTCTCCTTCCCGGCCTACTGATCATTACCAGCGTGGTCGACAATCCATATTTGTTGGGTTTGTCGTGGCGGAAACGTCATTTGAAGATTATCAGGTAGCGTTTCTCAGTTTAAATAAAATTTGTCAAGCATAAATGGGCACATTAAAACCAAAACTAGTACGTGCAGCGTCGCCCAGTACCTAACACTCGCCACCTGACACCTGCCACCTAAAAGTATAATCGCGGCGCTCAAATCTATAGCTTGAAGACAGAGGCAAAACGCGGTGTGTTGATGCCTCTCGCAGCTGCGTTTAGTATGCTATACGTATACTTTATCTGAAGTCACTTGAAACACTGTGAAATACCGGGTGCGTTTTATATATCTATATTTAACACGCTCTGTTGCTGCAAAAATCGCCAAATTTCGCAGCAAATATCCCCCGTATAAGATCAAAGGCAGTTTCACCGGTCCACGTGGAGTAAAGCACGCCTATGCGTGGACATAGCCAATGAGAAAGCGTGTATTTCACAGCTCCGAACAAGTGCAGGTGGCTACTGAAAATTGAAACAGTTTAGCCAGTGACGTGTAGCGGTGAATAAACGTGTTTTCTTTAGTCTGTCCGTGTTTTTTCATAGATTTTAT